AGAGCGTGTGCTTGGGCTTGCTTGTGCTCGCTTGCACGCTTGCTTGCTCCTCTCCATTGCCCGGAGGTGCCTGTTCCTCTCCATTGCCCACGGCCAGCCCGGCATGAGCGGCACAGACTCGGGTTTTAATTCTGAGGACCCAGATGGGATCCCTCATCCTGGGCTGGTGACGCCAGCGGGGTCTGTCCCAGGAGAGCAGGGACATGCCAGCGAGGTCAACGCCTGCGGGGATGCGGCAGCTCCTCATCCCTTTTCTTGCGATGACGGGGGATATTCTGGCTTTTCTCGTCCCCCGGTGCCGGCTGGGGCTGCCTGGGGGTTGCACAGATTAACACCGAGGTGAGAACCAGTCCCGCCAAGGCAGGGGGGGATGTGGCAGCTGCCTGCGATGGGGCAATAGCTGCCTACCCGCCCGGGGCTCCGCAGGGTGACCCCAAGCCCCGTGGGGACGAGCTCTGAACCCCGAACACCTCTGTCATTAACGGAGACTCGGGTGGGCACCGGGCATGGCCGAGGGGTGCCCTGTAGTTATGCTGTCGGCTGAGCCCCCAGGTGCTGGATGCCGGTGTGGCCACTGCTGGCTTGGCCGCCAGAGCAAGCAGGCAGGGCCATCACCACCATTAGCAGCAGAGAGACGGCTTTGAGGGCAGTGGGAAGCAGCCAGGGCTGGATCCAGGCACGCAATGGCCCCTTTTCTGCCCCACCGTGGGGTGATGCCCAAGCAGGGCGCCGGATGGTGCTGAGCCCTCCCTGGTGCAGCCGCAGCACCCGCTCGCCCCGCTGGGCACAGCCACGTCATGGCAGGATGGGACCCCACGGGCAGCAGCACCCCTCAGCCCCCCGCAGGTGGGTGCCCGGGGACGTCCAAAGTCCCGGCGCAACCAGTGGGACCTGGGAAGGAGGGAAAGGCTGGCAGCAGCGTGGTGGCAGCGCAGCGGCTCCACAGTTATCGTGCTGAGGGTGGGGGAGCACAAATACTCCTGCCATTAAGGCCATAAAAGCTATTTAGATACGGCGGGCAGCGGGGAGGGAGGGCAGGGGGAGGCTGCAGGAGGGATGGAGAGGAGCTGACAGAGCACCGCGGGGACACCCTGGCAAGCAGGTGGCTGGGTCGGGGGTCTGGGTCCGAGCCCACCACCACAGCGCTCCCCACTCCGAGGTGAGCTCTGGCTGCAGGAGGTGACAGCCCGGCCATGAGCCATCACATGGGAGGAGGATGGTGGCTGGTGAGAGCTGGACCCGCGGGGAGGAGAGGAGCTGGGTGCCACCACCAAGGGACAGCCATCGTCACCCGCTCGGCCGGCAGGGAGCAGAGGGGCCGGGTGCGGGGCCGGCGGTGACAATGTCCCCGTTGAGGCCAGCGCCGCAGATGGAGACAAACGGCCCCCTTGTTTTCTGCGCTGGCAGGCAGCGGGCAGGCAGCGAGCAGGCAGCGGGCTGAATGCCTCCTCTGTGCCGCCAGGAGTGGGTGGGGAGACGGGAGGCTCGGGGTGGCAGCGGGCACGCAGGGCCTGGCCCAGCTGTCCCGGGGGAGCCGGGCAGTGCCCGGCCGCAGCCCCACGTCCTTCTCAGCAGCGGCTCTCATTTCTCTCTCTCTTATTCCCCCTCCCCAGGCCAGCGATACGGGGCCGGGACCCCGACGATGCCATAAAGACCGGAGCTGTTGGGGAGGCTTCAGAAAAGCCGGCATTTGCGGGGAACTGCCCAGGACGAGCTTATTCCATGTCGGAGCAGCATCGGCACCCCTGCCCCACGCCGCCCACTCCCCCCGTGCCCCGGCCAACCCAGAAGAGGAGAGGGACGGCTCACCGAGAGCAGCTTAAGCAAAGGAAAAGGTGATGCTTGGGGGGCGGTGGGGTGCTTGGGGGGCAGCTCCATGGGGCAGGGTGCCAGGGGGCATGTGGGGATGGGTGTTTGCACCCACGAAGGATGTGCAAGGGGGATGGAGGGGTAGGGAGGACCATGCCTGCGTGAAATTGGGCACGTAGCAAAAAGAGCATGCCCATCGGCTGGCGGGGGTGGCAGGAGCAAACAGCTGGTGGATGTGCCTCATGTACGGCAGCTATAGGGGTTTGGCCGTAAAGGAAATGGCTCCTATAGGGAAAATCCAAAAGAGGGCTCAGGGCTGTCCCCAGGGACCAGGGGAGCTGCTGGGACACGGGGATGGGGCTGCGGAGCTGCGTGGCCCCAGCCATCCTGGGGGGTGAGCCGTGGGGAAATGGCCGGCGCGGCTGCGTCCTCCGGCTGGGAATTTCAACCAGCTGGCTGAGAGCTGGCACCGCAGCTGCCCCGCGCTAATGGGAGCCCCAGGAAAAACGCCTCGATCACTGCATTTCTCCTGGTGAGCTATTAATAATTAAGCCACTTATTTAAGGCAAAGTCAATAGAGTAACTGGGTTGGGAACTGTTTGCCAGAACCACACCAGGGGAGCCAGCCTGGCTGGAGTGAAACATCCTCTTGGCATCCCAGCGTGTGGGGCTGGGGTGCTGCGCTGCCCCGGGGGGATGGCGGCTCTTCCAGGTGGTGCCAACGCCGGCCCTGTGGATGGTGACCATGGCAAGATCACGGCCACAGTTTAAGACCCAACCCTGGCCACTCCCAGGCATAAGAAACCCTCTTGGCTTCGCACCCATGCGGCAATTTTGGGGTAGGGTCAGAGACACCCGCTCCCCCTGCGGTTACACCATATGCCCCCCGTATCCCCACCGTTCCTGCCGCGCTTGCCAGCGGCTCAGAAAACCAGCCAGGAAGAGGCTGGATGTGGCCAGCCCTGCCTGACCCAGCGATCCCTGCTGCAGGGCCCGGGGGGGGACCGCTCGGGTGAGCTTGGGTGCGCTTGCACGGTGTCACCAGGTGCCCTCACCCCATCAGCGTCCCCCGGCTGCCGCCCTGGGGGCCAGGGCGAGCTG